TGGACTTTAAAATATAAAACATATTTATTCTGAGTGCTGTGGCTGCTGGGTCACAAATATGGGAAAATAAAATTATCTGTTTCTTCTTTTAGGTTAGGGTGAAGACCACCCAGTTCAGGGTTCCCTTCTTTTTCAGGTTGGGAGTATTGAATCTAGTATTAGGTTGGATTTATAATTTCCAGAATCCAAGGCCCTGGAGTAGAGACACGAACCTACCCCCTCAGATTTCATGGTAGAGCATCCCTATAACATCAACATTTCCCTGCCTTCAAAAGCTTATCTTCTAAGCTAAGACAAATGGACAGCAACTTTTTCATTTGATTTAGTGGAAATAAGAGAGTCTTTATGTTTTCCTTTGCTAAAAGTAGATCAAGGTAGACTTCTAGAAGAAATGAAACCCACAGAAAAGTTAAACAGTTTGTAGGTACAAAAAGGGAATTAAGGAGCTTTTAGGGTGACATGAAGTATTTGAATTGGGCCAGGTACTTATGAAGATAGTAAGCAGATACATCATTTGAGGGCATTGGAGAAAGCATGGTGAGGGAGGTTAGGTGGACAGAAAAGGCCTACCTGATTTCTGGGGAGAGATGGTAGCAGCCCTGTGGAAGGACCATATCCATGGAGGGGAGCAAAGGTAGCTGCTACTGACTGGCCCTCTCATTCCGCCCTTCTGGTCCTCTGGTCTCCATCTCGCCAAAAACTCTTACACTCAGATAAGCTGTCTTATCTTGTTATAGTTACTTAATGTTTAAAATCTTACTCTTACTCTGGAAGAAAAAAAATAATAGGTATTATTTTTCTCTCAATTTCAACCCCATCAAAAATTTTAATAATAAGATGAGCCTGCATACAGATGGTATATGTTTTTACTGTTCAAAGTACTTGATATTTATTGGGTTAATTTTGTCAGGCTGGGAGCAGGCAGTACAATGAAGGAAAGAGTAGATTAATTGTGTGTAAGCTAAGGTGAAAAGACATTATAACAAAAATGGGATAGGTGAACAGAATTAGGAAGGGGAAACAAAAATATCAGGTGACAGCATCAAATATTTGTATTAATTCTCAAATCATCAATATGATTTATAGAAATATTTAACTTTCCCTGTTATCCTATACATCATTTATTGTAGAACTATAGTAATAATTTTTAATGCTGTTGATAGTATGATTTTGCTCATGGCTGATTTCTCTTAGCATGATTTTCAGAATTTCAACATTCTTTACTGATTTGGATTTGGATTTTTTTAAACCACTCTTTTAAATGTCCAAGTCAATGAAATATTATATATATGAAAATGGAATTAATCAAATGAGTTTATTTATATAAGAGTGTAATAGTATATTACTGAGAAATAGACCCCATGTGATACAAATGAAAGAACACAAGACATAAAGTCATGGTCAAGTCAGAGCTGTGTCACTTTACATGGCCACAGATACAGAGTCATATCTATGTGGTCTTTAACCAGTTTCACAGCTTCAGTTTCCTCCTCTGAAATGGGGAAGATGATACAAGTTTTATATACACTTCAGTATTATTTCAGCATGAAGTGAGATTGACTGTGTATTCATTTTGAAATGTATGAAGTGCTACTCAGATAGAAACAAATATTATACACACAAAGAAAAACAAACAGTATTTTAATTTTACCATACATTAATTAAGCCATGAAAGTTTAGGATGTTGATGTCTGGGTTATCAAAATTTTTTTTTTCACTTTTATTCAACTCAGTACCATACTGCCATACTGAAGACATTTTAACAAAAAAAATAATGCCATCTTTCTTTTTTGAAAGATTGGTATTGAGATCACAAACTCTTATCATTTTTAGAAATTAAGATCCCTCTAAGAATCTAATGAAAGCTAAGCATCCTCTCCCAGAAAAATATTCATATCACATACAGACAGAATTTTGCAAAGAATTTCAAAGGTGTTCATATCCATGGATCCTAATAAAAACCACATCTCCACCTTAGATTGACATATAGTAGGACTTCAGTCATATGGCTTCTTTCCTTTCAGATTTCTGGGTTTTCCAGACTATCATGGTCTTCTACTGTGGACTTTTAAAGAAGTTGTTTTCCTGCCCAGCTCTGCCTCCACCCATTCCTTGCTTTAGCTGTGTTCCATCTAAGGCCTGTCTCTTAAACAGTCTTGATTCCTGTGTTCAGTCTACCCCGCCCCCCACTGTCATTCTCCAGCATTTTTCGTCACTGCTCATTCGTAGTGGAAGCAGTAAGGGAGAGAATGAGAGCTAGGAACCACACCAACAGATGCAAGAAGCAGAGGCTTTGGACGGAAATGGCAGTTGCAAGTAGTTCCAGTACTACCAGTTGCAGCAAGGCCAAACAGGAAAATAGTCTGAAAAACAAAAATGTTAAGATTTTCACCGATTTAAAATTCTACTAATCCTAAACAGTCAAATATTTGAAATTTTTTGTTACTGGGTTCATTTGTAAACAGCTCTTGATTGAGATCCTCTGGAATTTGACCATTCCCCTCCTCTAGTAATATAATATGGAAGGAAGTGCTCTTTAAACTGTAAAGAACCATAACAATGTAAGGGAGTATCATGCTGGTTGATTAATGTGGTTTGATGTGATGTGAAGAAAAGTTACAGATCATCACCATCCATTGTGTGAAATGTCAGCCAGATGAACAAACAGACCAAAGTTTTTTCGCTCTGGTAGTCAGTCTATCAACTGTATATTTTTCCAGGTTTGTAGAATTTTAATCCCCAGATTTTCTACTTTTGCACTAAATCCTCAGCCTTTTCAACTCTTAATTTTATATCATTTCACAAATGGTCCTCAATATCTAGTGCCTTCAGACACTACCATCTTAAATTTAAGTCAGCATGTGTCAACAGCAACCAAAACAAAATTCAGCCCAAATATTTATAAATGCAGACATATTCTTAGACTACCAGAAGAGTGTGTTGTTCTTATTTAGTAACTTCAACAACAGTCTTTCTAGATCTCTAAGTGTTCCTGTTTAGAAAATGAGAATAAGGACATATAAGTTCTTCATGAGCCAGGTGGATTCACTGTTGTGGAATTTGGGGGTTTATTATCCAATGTCAGTTTAAATTTCTATATTCTAGTGCCATTGTAATCCAATAAGAATCTATTTTTAAAATAAAATCTAGAAGCAGGTAGTAAACTGCTTAATAATGAATGTGAAGTATTGAATTAGAGTATTATTTTATGCTTTTAAAAATATTATTGGTACTGCCAGGTGAATTTTTGCAGTAATATTATGATGTTCATAACCAACATGGATTTTAAGATTTGCACATTACATAAGCAGAAACCACAAGGCACAAAGATTTAAGGTGCAGGAATG